AGAGTAATTTTGCAACCTAAATTAAGGCAACTGGTGACAAAACCAATTTAAATACTTCTGCAGTGCATCTATCTGTGCTAACTTGATTCTGTTTAGTGCAGTACAATTTAACTTAGTTTGATGAAGAGCGATGCAGTAAATATTCAAGTCATCTACAGGGTATCTTCCTTTACACCATGAGTCTAATCTTATTTCATTTGGAAACAGATATATAATTAATATTTTATTTGTGAATTCAGTTGTTCTTAAATAACAAAAAAAATTTTGAGGGTGATGTGTTTATCATTGGGAAGCTCCGGTTGCTATGGAATTGTGTAATCCAGCTAAAGCTATTGAAGGTCCATACTACCCTAGATGGTGTCACTGCCACCTAGTGGTAAGTACCTGAATTTGTAGACATGGTTATAGCTATAGGCACACTGACTATGTAGTTAATATCATATGATTTTGGTAGCAACAACCATTATATTGGATATAAAAGAAATTTTCTATGAGTGATTGAATGCAGCAACATTTACTTTTCTCTGTACTTCAAGGACAGACACTTCCTTTTATCACAATCTCCCATTCTTCCTCTGTGTACATTCCATTGCCCTTATAATTGCATATAGAGTTTACTTTAGAAAAGAGATAGAAAATAATCATAGACTGCTAACCTTGTACATTTATTTGGAGTTTACAAAGACACTTATTGCAAAATGGGCCATTAAATAGACAAACAGTTACTTCTTAAAATCTCATTTTATAATATAAAAATAGATTTTTACGGATTTTCCATTTGCTCAAATGCATAACGTGATTTCAACACTTCACATCCTTGTAATTATTTAAGATTTTTATGGCTTTCTGGTGAATACCTTTATATATCTTAGCTTTCTCTATTTCGCTGATTGTTATCTTTGTTTTTAACACATCTGTAAACACATTTGAAATTTCATACTCATGTTGAGGTCTCATCTTATTTTTATTGAGAATTTAATTTGCGACTGTGTGTAATAACACACTTTGTCTTATGCCTTAAAGAGAAAAAACATACTTACAGTCATATTCTATGAACCCTATACAGGAACACGGATTGCTCCATTTCTTGCCCATTCACATTCCAGAGAAGTAGGTGAAATAAGTGAAACGGATTCAGATGTGATGCTCCAGAGAAAAGTAGGAAATAAAGTGCAAAGCTGGTTAAGCCTAGCATTTTCTTGCATTTCTATTAGGAACTTTAAGAATTTGTGGAACCTGCATTCTGGTTTCATTTTTCTCTATTAAATTGCATGAACCTAAGACAAGTCTTTTAACCTCTCTGAGCTTCAGTTTCTTTCTTTTTTTAATTTTTAAAATTTTATTTTCTTTCATTTTTCTTTAAATTCCAAGACATATGTGCAGAACGTGCATGTTTGTTACATATGTATACATGTGCCATGGTGGTCTGCAGCACTTGTCAACCCGTGATTTCTGGGTTTTTTTTTTTTTTTTTTTTTTAAGATGGAGTCTCGCTCTGTAGCCCAGGCTGGAGTGTAGTGGCGCGATCTCAGCTCACTGCAACCTCCACCTCCCCGGTCCTGGTTCAAGCAATTCTCCTACCTCAGCCTCCCAAGTAGCTGGGATTATAGGAATGAGCCACCATGCCCAACTAATTTTTGTATTTTTTTTTTAGTAGAGAAGGGGTTTCACCATGTTGGCCAGTCTGGTCTTTAACTTCTGACCTCGTGATCTGCCCACCTAGACCTCCCAAAGTTCTGGGATTAGAAATGTGATCCACCAGGCCCTGCTGTCACTTAGGTTTTAAGCACCGTATGCATTAGCTATTTGTCCTAAATCTATCCCTCTTCTTGCCCCCAACCCACAACTGGCCCCAGTGTGTTTTGTTCCCCTCCCTGTGTCCATGTGTTCTCATTGTTCAACTCCCACATATAAGTGAAAACATGATATGTTTGGTTTTCTGTTCCTAAGTTAGTTTGCTGAGAATGATAGTTTCCAGATTCATCCATGTCCCTGCAAAGGACTTGAACTCATCCTTTTTTATGGCTGCATAGTATTCTGTGGTCTATATGTGCCACATTTTCTTCATGCAGTCTGTCATTGATGGCATTTGGGTTGGTTCTAAGTCTTTGCTATTGTGAACAGTGCTGCGATAAACATACGTGTGCATGTGTCTTTATAGTAGAATGATTTATAATCCTTTGGGTATATACCCAATAATGGGATTGCTGGGTTAAATGGTATCTCTGGTTATAGACCCTTGAGGAATTGCCACACTGACTTCCACAGTGGTTGAACTAATTTACACTTCCACCAACAGTGTAAAAGCGTTCCTATTTCTCCACATCCTCTGCAGCATCTGTCATTTCCTGACTTTTTAATGATCACCATTCTAACTGGCGTGAGATGGTATCTCATTGCGGTTTTGGTTTGCATTTCTCTAATGACCAGTGATGATGAGCTTTTTTTCATATGTTTATTGGTCTCATAAATGTCTTCTTTTGAGAATTGTCTGTTTATATCCTTTGCCCACTTTTTGATGGGGTTGTTTTGTTCTTGTAAATTTGTTTAAGTTCTTTGTAGATTCTGAATATTACCCCTTTGTCAGATATATTGCAAAAATTTTCTCCCATCCTGTAGGTTTCCTGTTCACTCTGATGATAGTTTCTTTTGCTGAAGGCTCTTTAGTTTAACTAGATTCCATTTGTCAATTTTGGCTTTGATTGCCCTTGCTTTTGGTGTTTTAGTTATGAAGTCTTTGTCCATGCCTATGTCCTGAATGGTATTGCCTAGGTTTTCTTCTAGGGTTTTTATGGTTTTAGGTTTTATGTTTAAGTGTTTAATCCGTCTTGAGTTAATTTTTGTATAAGGTGTAGGGAAAGAGTCTAGTTTCAGTTTTCTGTCTATAGCTAACCAGTTTTTCCAACTTCGTTATTAAATAGGGAATTCTTTCCCCATTGCTTATTTTTGTCAGGTTTGTCAAAGATCAGATGGTTGTAGATGTGTGGTGTTAGCTCTGAGGCCTCTGTTCTGTTCCATTGGTCTATATATCTGTTTTTGTGCCAGTATCATGCTGTTTTGGTTACAGTAGCCTTGTAGTATAATTTGAAGTCAGGTAGCATGATGCCGCCAGTTTTGCTCTTTTTGCTTAGGATTATCTTGGAGAACTTCCTCAAACTATCATGACAGGCTAACATTCAAATTCAGGAAATATAGAGAACACAACAATAAGAGCAACCCTAAGACACATAACTGTCAGATTCACTATGGTTGAAATGAAGAAAAATATGTTAAGAGTAGCCAGACAGAAAGGTAACCCACAAAGGGAAACCTATCAGACTAGCAGGGGATCTCTCTGCAGAAACCCTACAATCCAGAAGAGAGTGGGGTGGGGGGCAATATTCAACATTTTTAAAGAAAATAATTTTCAACCCAGAATTTCATATCCAGCCAAACTAAGCTTCATAAGTGAAGGAAAAATAAAATCCTTTACAGACAAGCAAATGCTGAGAGAGATTTTTGTCACCACTAGGCCTGCCTTACACAAGCTCCTGAAGGAAGCACTAAATATGGAAAGGAAAAACTGGTACCAGCCACTGCAAAACCATACCAAATTGTAAAGACCGTTGACAGTAGGAAGAAATTGCATCAACTAATGAGCAAAATAACCAGCTAGCATCATAATGAAAGGATCAAATTCACACATAACAATATTACCCTTAAATGTAAATGGTCTAAATGCCCCAATCAAAAGACACAGGCTGGCAAATTAGATAAAAAGTCAAGACCCATGGGTGTGCTGTATTCAGGAGACCCATCTCATGTGCAAAGACACACAAAGGCTCAAAATAAAGGGATGGAGGATGATTTACTAAGTAAATGGAAAGAAAAAAAAATCGGGGGTTATGATCTTAATCTTTGATAAAACAGACTTTGAAACAACAAAGATCAAAAAAGACAAAGAAGGGCATTACATAATGGTAAAGGGATCAATGCAACAACTAGGGCTAACTGTTCTAAATATATATGCACCCAATACAGGAGCACTCAGAATCATAAAGCAAGTTCTTAGAAACCTACAAAGAGACATAGACTCCCACACAATAATAGTGGGAGACTTTAACACCCCACTGTTAATATTAGACACATCAGTGAGATGGAAAATTAACAAGGATATTCAGGACTTGAACTCAGCTCCAGACCAAGGAGACCTAATAGACGTCTACAGAACTCGCTGCCCCAAATCAACAGAATATATGTTCTTCTCAGCACCACATCATACTTATTCTAAAACTGACCACATAATTGGAAGTAAAACACTCCTCAGCAAATGCAAGAGATCAGAAATCATAATGTACAGTCTCTCAGACCACAGTGCAAGCAAATTAGAACTCAGGATTAAAAAACTCACTCAAAATTGCAGAACTACATGGAAACTGAACAATCTGCTTGTGAATGACTACTGGGTAAATAACGAAATTAAGGCATAAATAAATAAATTATTTGAAACCAATGAGAACAAAGACACAACATACCAAAATCTCTGGGACACAGCTAAAGCAGTGTTTCGAGGGATATTTATAGCACTAAATGCCCATAAGAGAAAGTGGGAAATATCTAAAATCGACACCGTAACATTACCATGAAAAGAAATAGAGAAGCAAGAACAAACAAGTTAAAAAGCTAATAGAAGACAAGAAATAACTAAGATCAGAGCAGAACTGAAGGAGATAGAGAACACGAAAAACCCTTCAAAAAATTAATGAATCCAGGAGCTGGTTTTTTGAAAAGATTAACAAAATAGTCTGCTAGCCAGACTAATAAAGAAGAAAAGACAGAAGAATAAAATAGACACAATGAAAAATGATAAATGGGATATCGCCACTGAGCCCACTGAAATACAAACTACCATCAGAGAATATAAACGCCTCTATGCAAATAAACTAGAAAACCTAGAAGAAATGGATAAATTCCTGGACAATACACCCTCCCAAGGCTAAACCAGGAAGAAGTCAAATCCCTGAATAGACTAATAACAAGTTCTGAAATTGAGGCAGTAATTAATAGCCTACCAACCAAAAAAGCCCAGGACCAGACGGTTTCACAGCCGAATTGTACCAGAGATACAATGAGGAGCTGGTACCATTCCTTCTTAAACTATTCCAAACAATACAAAACTCATTTTATGAGGCCAGCATTATCCTGATACCCGAACCTTGCAAAGACAACAAAAAAGAAAAATTTAGGCCAATATCCATAAGGAACATCAATGCAAAACCTCAATAAAATACTGGCAAACTGAATCCACATCAAAAAGCTTATCCGCCATGATCAAGTTGGCTTCATCCCTGGGATTCGGGGCTGGTTCAACATAGGCATAAACAGAACCAATGACAAAAACCATATGATTTTCTCAATAGGTGCAGAAAATGCCTTCAATAAAATTCAACAACCCTGTATTCTAAAAACTCTCAATAAAGTATGTATTGATGGAACATAACTCAAAATAATGGCTATTTGTGACAAACTCACGGCCAATATCATACTGAACGGGCAAAACTGGAAGCATTCCCTTTGAAAACTGGCACAAGACAAGGATGCCCTCTCTCACCACTCCTACTCAAAATACTACTGGAAGTTCTGGCCAGGGCAATCTGCCAAGAGAAATAAATAAAGGATATTCAAATAGAAAGAAAGTCAAATCGTCTCTGTTTGTAGATGACATGATTGTGTATTTAGAAAACCCCATCATCTCAGCCTAACATCTCCTGAAGTTGATTAAGGAGATTTTCAGCAAAGTCTCAGGATAAAAAATTAATGTGCAAAAGTCACAAGCATTCCTATACAAAAATAATAGACAAATCATGAGTGAACTCTCATTCACAATTGCTACAAATACCTAGGAATACGACTTACAAGGGATGTGAAGGACCTCTTCAAGGAGAACTACAAACCACTGCTCAAGGAAGTAAGAGAGTACAGAAACAGATGGAAAAACATTCCATGCTCAAGGGTAGGCAGAATCAATATCATGAAACTGGCCGTACTGCCCAAAGTAATTTACAGATTCAATGCTATCCCCAGCAAGCTACGATTGACTTTTTTTGCAGAATTAGGAAAAATACTTTAAATTTTATTTGGAACCAAAAAAGAGCCCATATAGCCAAGACAATCCTAAGCAAAATGAGCAAAGGCTGGTGGCATCATGTTACCTGACTTCAAACTATACTGCAAGGCTACAGTAACCAAAACAGTTTCTTAAACTATAAAATGAGCATAGTGTTTTCTTACCGTGAAATTAATATTATCAACTTGAGGGGAATAACAGAATCATTTGGGGTAGTGTTATTAATGCTGTTATTTCTCCATAGGGAGTATCAGAATTTCTAAATGAATGGGTATTGGAGGGTTGTATTTTATGAAAACTGCCCCCAAATATTTCACCTCTCCTCAAACCTCCACCTTCAGCCTAAATAGTGCTTAATATTTTTTCTTCAACATTCCATATTTCCAATTGTTTCCCCTATGGGCTAAGATAATTTTGAATGGAACATGTTTTACTTAGAACAGTTTTCAAACACACGTTTTGTAGAAGCTAAGAAAAGACATTTCTCAGCCCAGTGGGCCCTCTTAGGAACCTATGGAAACATTCTAATATCCAGCTCTCAAATCTAAGAACAAGCTCGGTATCAAAACAATTTATGACGTGAAAAGCCATGGGTCCTTTGCCAAGAGAAATGATCATATGAAATATGAAAATAATAAGTCTATGTGAGGTTTTTATCATTCATACTCAGAAAGAATAGCCATTCTGATTCTTTAAGTCTCTAGGTGGGTTATGGTGATATTGTTTTATGCCTTTCAGTGATACTTGACTCTTAAATATCTCTTACTCTCTTTGTGATATAATTTTTTCAATATTATTTTTATCTTTGTCATTCTTTACTTCAATATCCAACTCATCCATCTCAGTTTATTTTAGGAAACCTGCTTCTTTGAATAAGAAAAAAGCCCTTAAAATTATCTGTAAATGTCAGCTTTTCAGAAACTCCAAGATATCCTCCTAATCCTAGGCGAGTTATTTTCAAAATTGAAAAAAAGTTTTTAAAAGTTATTTTTTCTTCAAGTGATATGAAACATGACAGTAAAATCAGTATTTAAAAACCTTCATTTTGAACAGTTTTTATCTAGCCTGCTGGGAGGGAAAGCACCCGATGTAGAACACAGAAGATTTAAGTGCATCTTTAGTTAAAATATTGATTACTACCATTCAAATAATAATAAGAGCACATCAGATTAGATGCTTGGGAGAGTGTTGTTTTGTTTTGTTTTTTAATACTTCTGAGTTCATGATGCCTAATGAAAATTGACTTTAAAATGATATCTGAAGCAGGAATAGGTTCAAAAGCATAAATTATTTTTGTTTAAAAATCACAGTACTTTTTTTTTTTTTTTTGGTAGCTGCATGGTATCCATTACTTGTATCCTGACTTCTTTTGCTGGAATGCCCAGAATTTCTTTCTTAAAGTCCCAAGTGACGCCACTGCAAAATAAAAAACATCAGAAGCACCAATTAATGGAAATATTACTTGAATCAAAACAAGGCATAAATGTTACACAGAAAAATTCATACATGGAGAAAATAGATGGTCTAATATGAAAATTAAATGGTGTTTCTCAGTTTGACAATACAGCAAATAAAATAGAAATAATTGAAAGATGCCCATTTTTAAAAAATCCAACTTCTTGTAATAAACACAAAATCAAATCTGCAGAGTGAAAGAGCCCACCATGTTCCAGAGAAAGTCAATATAGAACAAGTAATCACAATTCACGTCTTAATTAAGTTATCAAACTTTGCAGATCAAAAGAATGAGTCAAGCTTTTCAGCTGAAATGAGATGTCATCTCTAAGTGGGAAGATCACGCTGGCCTTTGATTTCTTCATAGCAATGTTCAATGCCCAAAGATAATAGCATAAAATAGACTTAATTCTGAGACCATGTGATCAAAGAATATTAAACTCATCCAAACTCTCCATTAAGTGTGAAAGCAGGAGGCCATCATATCCAAACATGAACAAAATTAGCATTGTTGAGTCTTTCTGGAAAAGCTAGTTCATGCTGACATTCAGCCAGCCATGTAATGAGTTAAAATAGAGAACCAGGAATGGAGAGAACCTGGAAAAAGAAATTGAGGTGTATGCCATTTCATTTCAACATAAAGCTAAGACTAAATGTCTATGGGAATTATTTCAATAGGAGAGAATACAAATGTGGTAAATAATGACAGCCCCCAAATAATAGTTAATTAAAAGGCTGAAGAAAGTCTAAGTATGATAATTTTCTTATCCTTAGATATTATTATCAGTAGTATTTAAAAGTGAAATGTAATTTTTAAGATGGCCATAATACTAGCAATCTCTAAATGTTTTTCTTTGTGATTTTTATTAATTTTGTTCATAAAGAAACATCTAAAACTAAAGTACCTTGTATTTCACTTTGTTTTGTTGTTAAGTAAAAATAAAATGTTTTTTTAAATATATCGACTAACCCCTACTTTATAGTCATTTATGCCTTAATTATTTATCTGCATTTGTGCATACAGAGATGTCTAGGCTGATATTCACCTATAATTAATTAGAATAATTTCTAGCTGGTTGGATTTGAAATCTTTCTTGTTTTGACTTGAATATTATAACATTGACATGTATCATTTTATCAAAGCAATAAATTAATTTTTGAATAAAAGAATAAAATCTAGTATTTTAACTTTAGCTCACACGATTGCCTTTTCTTGTAATTTTTGGCTTTGAAGCTTTGTTGATTATAAATCTAAAGTGAAGCATCTTAAATATTTTGTTTTTTGGGGGTAGTGAAAAAGCTGGTGCTACTTGACATGCTGAGTGCATAATACAAAGATAGCATTCAAATTAAATATTATAACAGATGTACCCATACTGTATGTGTAGTTTGCAAATGTTGCTTGTTGTGCATTATGCATATTATGATTTCCTTTGATACCTAAAACTGTGAACTTTTGTTAGAATATGCTTTATTTTAGTTCCAAACTCTTAACTCTATGTTGTTAAAATTGTATATATTAGTATCTGATATTTGAAAGGAAGCCTCTTTGAGCTTCCCAAGTGAAGTCTGAAAGGGGGTTAAAGCCAACCTTTGTAAAAATCATTTGCAATATGAACATGGAAATGGAATTTTAAAATTCCATATAGGTTTTGAGGAAAGGAAAGTATTTTTGGAATATTGGATAGTGATTATTTGACAATAATATATTGTTGTGACTTTTTGAGTACACCCACCAAAAAATATTAGGGTCTAATATAGAGCAGGAATGTGCTATTCTTGTCCACCCTCAGTGACATAAGTTCCATTGTTAGCATCATGTTTAAGTTACTCAAATATTACCCTTGCCAATTATTATAACACTTTAAGCAATCTAGAATGCCTATTACTTACCCGTCTTAGTTGCTTCTTGATTAACTTGTGTTCCTTTAATTTTTTTTATCTTTCATTTGCCTTTCTTTGTAATATTTTAATTTTATCCTGCTGTGAATATTGAAATAGTCATAAAGAAACTAAATTTAATGCTACATTCACTTATTGGGCAGCTTCAATAATTTAAGCACTGTGCTATGCATAAGTGATACAAAGGTGAAAAAGACCTTGTTCTCAGAAAGTTGACAATATAGGGAGTAAGATGTGGGAATCATGTATAAATTCTGATTTGTTTGTCTCCAAAATGAATGCTCTTTCATTGCCTAAGGCAATGGTAGTCTTGAAGTATAGTGAGAACATGCGTTTTTAAGTCAGATAGACATAGGTTTGAATGTTTTTTACTTAATAACTGTCAATTGAACTTCAGTTTACCCAAGTTAAAAAAAGGAAATTATACCTTATGGAATTGTGATTAGAATAAATGAGAGAAAATTTGTAAAACTAGCCCACTATTGGGCATGTTGTATTCCCTTGATCATAATTAGTTTTCTTCTTCTTCTTCACTTAACTAAGAATATCTGCAAGGAGAGTCTCAAATATATTGCCAGTAGCTATGAAAAAGCTATCTCTTTTATCCTATATGTTTTTTTGCTACATTTCACATCTGTATTCTGTATGATGAACTTATATATCTATATTCTTATAGTTTTCTCTTAACTTGGT